GCACAAGATCTATCATATATATTTAATATGTGTATGTATGATGTTTAACTTAATATCTAGAATTTACTTTAAACCTTTATTTTTATATGAAAATTGAAATAGTGTATAATAAGGTTTTTCCTAAAAGGAATAATAAAGGTGGCACATAAAGCCATCCAAAATAAATATTTTTAAAGAGACTTTTAAAACTTTAAAGTTTACAAAAGTCGACTTGTAGAGTAACAACAACAAATGCCATCTGGTTGCTGACTTGATTTCTGAACAGAGTTGGGTAACTGATACTCTTATGAATAGTGAAGTCACTGCAGGTGTCCATCCCAGGATACAATACACTGATTTCAACTTGGAAATACAAACTAGGGAATAAGGAAAGATTGATACAGTCATAAAATTTAATGCCCTTTTTTCAGGTAACCAGTATATTTAATTTTATTCAACAGAAAATAGTTGGCTTAAAAGTTTGTTTATAAAATTGAGACATTGGATAGTTATAGAGCATTTTTAATTTAAAAACTAACTCATGGAAAGACTATATGATTATTGCGTCGGCAGGAGAGGCATCTTGTGTTTCAGAACTCCTGCGCATTGTCTGAGGTGGTGGTTTTATCTCTGCTTTTTTCCCCGAGCATATTCCCCCATCAGTAACAGATCCAGCACAGATACACAGTTTTGTTTAATGACAGTTGCCATTAGATGTTGGTGTGACTCTAGAGATGGCTGTCAACTGCTGATTAAAAAGGAGAAAGAATTTTTAAGTGAAATAATTGATGAATTTTAAATTGAACTTTTTTGACTCACTTTACACCTCAACAACTATGTCCTTCATGAAACTCTATGAAACCTACTCTTTTCTTGGTACCTACTCTGGGTAACAAATTTTTCTAAACCCTGAGATTATACATACGTACTTTTGTCTTTAATCATACTGTGGTTCAATTCCCCTGAGGGAGAAATGGTACCAACTGGACAGTATTTTATAGCACTTATGCTCAAGTTCAGGGGGAGTCAGCACATGGGCAGGGTCCTCAGACTGGCTGTCTGAGGAGACTGTAGGTGAAACTTTTGTGGCTGTGCTACTGCTCTGTAAAGGCACACGTGGTAGTTGTTACTCGTGACATGGACAGAGTTGCACATTTCTGCTAACAGGAAGGTTTCATAGTGGTCAGAGTCTGACAGTCTGCAAAGAGGGGAGTCGCAAGACAGTCTCCTGCAAGCTTTGGAGGTTAGCAGCTTTTGAACCTCATTGTTGGGCAAAACATCTTTTGCAAATCTCTTGTCTTGGATGATACCTTCACAGAGATAGGGGTGGGGTACTGGTCAGGACTTCCATAGTGTGTTGCACTTTTTTTTCTAGGTGCTTTCGTGATTGTCAATTAGTTACAAGCCATTTTTCACCATATACTCTCTATAGCTCAATCTCAAAACCAGAGACAGTTGTCAAGAGCCATGGAATTATGTGAAAGTTGAGTGTCTCTGCAGTTCAAGGGTGCTAGATATTGGCCTTACATTCAGTGTGTCAGAGACATGCATTGTGCACATAAATGTATTTAGCATGGTTCTCTGTGAAGTGTTTTGGGAGGCAAGGAAAGAAAAGAATAACATTAAAAACTGCGTGGAAGGAACATATTAATATTAAGTAGTGATAACACCTCAGAGCTGACAGTGCATTACAGCTGTGCCAGCCTTTTATCTTAGAAGTGGTGGCAACACACACTTTACTACATACTTCTCTTTTGGTGTCACTAGAGTAGAGCCAGGTACTTTCACTTTCAAACTATTAGCCGGATGAAATGGTTGCAGGAAACAGCTGAATTTTTCCAGAATACTTGTAGCTCTGTAGGAAATTCTAATCTATATGCTTTGTTTAGTGGCTCTAGTTCAGTGTCATTTTTATTCATGCCAAGGAAAACGTCTGTATTCCAAATTCTCTGAAAATCATTTTGCTCAAAATTCAAGTGAAATCCCCTATGAAACTCAGAGTTTACAGGACTGAATATCTATTCAGGAGCCCACAAATTATCTGTACCTCAGATTAGAGTCCTTGGACTTCAGGGAAGGGTTTCCTCTTCCAACTTTCCTTGGGTCCTGGGTGTAGGTCATGGGCCACTAGCTGTCCTTGGTTCCATGTTATCTCTTCTGAGTTGGGAGAACTGAGCAGTTCACCTACAGGTCAGTGATTTCAGGGATAGCCATAGTTATCAGTAAACACCCCTTAAATTATAAGGAAAACTCAAATCAAAAGTACCTCATCAAAAGAAAAGGAAAGATTGTTTCACTTATGATGATAGTCTCAAGTTTTTTCCATTTACCTATAAAAGTCTCAAGATCATACTTTTTTATAGCTGAGTAATATTCTATTGTATAAAAATACCACATCTTTTTCATCTGTTCGGCGGTTGATGGTCATTTGGATTGTTTCCAAGATGTAGCTATTACAAATTGCACTGCTATAAATATGGGTGCACATATATCACTGAGACATGACCTTTTCAATTTTCCTGGGAAAATACCCAGAAGGGCAATAGCTGGATTGAATGGAACTTCCCATACTAGTTAGTGTTTTGAGGAATCTCCATACTGATTCCACAGTGGCTGCACCAGTCTACGCTCCCAACAACAGCGAAAAAGTGTTCCTTTTTCTCCACAGCCTCACAAACATTTGTTATTGGTTGATTTCTTGATGGCAGCCATTCTTTCTGGAGTGGGATGAAATCTCAGTGCTGTTTTAATTTGCATCTCTTGAATGTCTCAGGATGGTGACCATTTCTTCATGTATTTATTTGCCATTTTTCTGTCTTCATCTGAGAACTGTGTGTTCATCTCTGATGCCTGTTTCTTTTTTCTGTAAATAAAAAAAAAGAAACATAAAATAGCACATCTTCTTCATGATACTCATTTCCACATGTTTCTTAGCATCTACATTTCCTTTAATTTTCAGTTCCGTGAGGGCAGGAACTACATCTCTCTGGTGTCCACTCTGCTGCCAGTGCCTCACCTCTGGTTGGCTGCCAGGTGACATGTCATTGACCTGGGCCATATAAGCGTATGGCTGGAGTGGGGCATGGAGAGTGTGATTCCTTAGGGTTCTAACTCCTGTTTCTTCCCTCCTGTACCCTTCCTAACTACCACCTACATAGCTGTACTCCTGTACCCTTCAACTACCACCTACATAGCTGTCCAAGCTTAGAAATCTCTTCCCTGATCATTCCCATAAAGAATTAAGTGTATTTTTCCTATTAAACTGCTAATAATATGCCTGACATCCAACATCTCTGTATTTCTCTTTTACTTTATTAATTTTGTTTATTGCTATTCCACTCCTGAAATTTAGTAAAGGGATCCATAAAAATGTATCTCCCTATCATACCCATATTACTAGATGTAAATGCATCAGTTTAGCTCACCACTTAGCGAGAAAAGTTAGCTTGCCAAAATATATAATAAAAAGTAATTCAGCAGTGATTGTCTCAAAATTTCTTAATGGGGATACTGTATGGATTCTCTTGTAGGCTTTTGATAGGGCTGTAGCACCATCTAAGATGATCTCTGGGAATGTAAAGGTTAGACATGCAAAGAGAAAAGACAGTCCTTTTAGGGGCTGGGGATTTAGCTCAGCGGCATAAGCGCCTGCCTTGCAAGCAGACAGTCATGAGTTCGATCCCCGGTACCGATTAAAAAAAAAAAAAAAGAAAGAAAAGAAAAGACAGTCCTTTCAGAACAGGCTTCAAAGGGGACACTGATTTGTCTAATGCTACGGAGTTTTTCTTTGCTATGATGTGGTACTGTGAAAATGTTTCCCCATCCATACCTGCCTTGTCACAGAACTTCTTCATGCAGAAATCTTGTATTTTGTGTAACATCAGAGGGCAGCCAAAATAAAGGAACAGGGACAGCAGACGAGGGCAGTGTGCTCCATGAGGCACCACATGCTCGTTGTCTTGATCTGCTATGAAAATCCTGGTCAGTGGTGACCTTTTCTAGTTTTTCTTGTTTCAAATTCTAGAGAAAGACTAATGGCATAAGAAGCGCACCAGCAGTACATACCACATACAAGAGTCAGAAGGTCACAGTCCTGGAACAACAGGGCTGAAATACTCATTAGGAAGGGACAGTAAGTTAGGCAAAAATCTATTGTTCTGGATCAAATGATAAGTCTCTGGGGATTTATAGTATTTTTCCCTTTATAGTAAAATAGGCTCATTTTAGAGATTGAATGTTATAAAGTGCTTTAAATACTATGAATTTATGTGCTGTAGAGAAATAATAGTTGGACTGTGCTAATCTAATTGTATATATGAGTGGTATATGAGTGGTTAGTCTGTAGCCTTCGGAGGAGAATGTGTAATTTTTTTTAAAAAAAAAACATTTTCTGCATTTATCCATTTTGCAGGATTTTTACTACATATATAACCAGCTATGGCACTGGTTGCCTACCCATTCCTGAAAAGAATTCTGTATAGTCAAAAATGAAATGCTAAGGGAAACTAGAAAGGAAACAGTAGAAAACAAAAACTACTAGGAAATGAAAAGGTAAATCTGGGTCTATGTATGTATAGTGAGTAGTGTGGGTGTATGTAACGTGGTGTGTGTATTTATCTTCCCATCCAGTGCTGGTTGTGGCAGTTCTGTGGTTAATATGAAGTTGTAGGAAGGAAAGGCTCAATAAGATGGAAAGTGTCCCATACCTAGGACAGAGTGCCAGCCCCGCCATGCAGTCTCTCTGTGCTCCCCACCCTCATATGATGGTCCATCTCCAGTACGGCAGTGCCCGGTGCTCAGGGAGAGCGCTTGGTGCTGCCCTTCAGAACCTCCAGAGGGACTGATTGATTCTCTTCTCTTCCGCTTCCTTGAAGCTTGTCACTTTGTCATTTCAGTGTAGGCACACAGTGGAAGGACGCAGGGTGGACTGTCAACCCAGGACATTTTTGGTGTGTGTGTGTGGTTTTTACCTTCTGTTTTGTCTAATTCTTTATTTTTTTATTTGCTGATACGAGGGAGGGAAGGCTTAGAGAAAGAACCTGATGTGGAACAGTTGGGATTTGGTTAATCTGCTTAGAAATAACATTAATCGGCGGATCAGATGCTGTCAACAATGCAGTGCCTCCTGTCCCTCCTTAATTCCCTCACTCTTTTCTTGCTTATTCTTTCTGAACTACCTTTCATTTCCTTTACATTTACTGTGTCTTATTTAACTTTTGTTTTACAAAGTTTCCTTTTAATTTTTTTCCTTGCACGTCATCTTTGAATTCCACTACTGCTTTGTCATGTCAGGTATTCTATCTTTTGACTTTTTTTTGCGGGGGAATGGGGGGGTATAATAATTCATATACCAGAATGAAACTTGCTTAACAGATGATTGAGAGTACCTACCACAGCTGAATAAGAGCATGACCATAGCTGCTTGACACATTTCATGCTATTGGAACAGTTATTGTTGAGATAAACTCTACTATTCTATTGCTTATAACTTTATTTTTCTGAGATTGGATTCAGTTACTACTTATTAAGACCTCCTTTATACCAGGCAGTTTAATGTATACATTAAAATGACCCTGTGAGGTAGATATTTTTATACATTTTTAAAAATACCCTCAACTGAGGCTCAAAAATTTGAAGTAATGTGCCAAGAATACACAGCCAGATGCTGCACCTGAATTCTAAGTCTGTTTTTACCAACACTAGGAAAATGTATGGAGTAAAGATTCAGAAGGACTTGATACTGCGCTGAGTCCCAGCTCCATCTCTAGGCCTCAGCGTCTTTTGTGGGTAAAATTTGAGTTATAATCATTCTGCCTCTCAGTCTTGTTAGTTACTAAGTTTCATGTTGAGCACTTAGAACAGTGCTTGGAACATAAGTTCCTGATGAATAGCATTAAATATCTTTTGGGCATTTAATGTGTTACGGTCTTCATAGTAGGATCTACATATAGTTTGGACTTAGAACTTTAAGTGGGAAAGACCTGTGTCAAGAGAATTTGGGGGGTCCTGTTGGTTTCAAGGAGAGCAGGTTACCTGAAGAGCTTTTAAAAGGGACCTGTAACCTGTTCTGGAGGTCAGTGAGAATTTGAAGTCTGAAGCATGGGTAGGGGTCAGAAGGAGCCAGAGGATGTATGTGACTGGGTTCCAGCACTCAGGAGGCTGAGGCAGGAGGGTCATGAGTTTGAGGGCAGTCCAGGCTACATAGCAAGTTCAAGGCTAGCTTGGACAACACAGTGAGACCCTATCTCAAAAATAAAAACCAAGCACACGTGTGCGTGGATATTATTTTAAGCTAAGAAGATGTGTATCACAGATCATGAAGTGGGAGAGCCCAGTGCATTGCTGAACGCAAGTCAAGTCCACAGTGGGAGAAAAATGTGTAAAGAGACAAATGAAGGTCAAATTAAACAAAGCTGGGGAGGTTACTCAGTCATTGTTAGAGCCTAATTATACCATAGAATTTCTCTCTCTGAATTCTTAGATTTCTAAGAGATTCTGGTAGGATGCAAACTCTCTTTTTCTGCAGTTAAAATGTCTTTTTTAAAAAATTCTGTGGACTCTGTACAGTGCATTAAACTAGTTAAAAATTAAACTAGTACCGACACAAACGTAACCAAGAAATCAAGAAAAAAAATGTGTTCATTTTAAAAAGAGCCACTGTTATTGCTAAACAAGAATAAAATAGTTCAGTTGGAGCCTGTTTTTAAACAGAATGGTTTCAGAATATAACATCCTTCCTGATGGTTTCAGATGGCTTTATTTGTTCATAAATAACTCGACTTGTTGATTTAGCCACTTTTATCATATGAATGCTTCATTAAACAAATGTAGCTTGCTCATTATAGCCAAGTGGGGTTTTATTCAACCAAGTGGGGAGGTTGGGAATACTTGCTTGTATTTAACAGCAAAGGCCATTTATCTGGCCTCTTGCCATCTGGAGGCTCTAGATAGCTTTTCCCAACATAAATCTTCAGTCTGGTATCCAGACTGATAGGGACATTCAACTACAGTATCACCATGTCAGAAAGGCCTACAAAAATGTCAGATAAAGAACTCTGTAAATAAAGTAAATCAAGCCAGGAAAGAAAGATACACTCTTCTGAGGTGTGTCACTATCCAAGTAAAAAGACTAGATTTTTTCACAAGTTCTTTGAAAAGCTAAACAGCAAGGAATTTTGAAAAATTTCCCCTTCTTAAAGTCCGCCTTCTTACAGTTCTGACTCAGCTAAATCATAAAGCACTCTGATACAAGATGGTCATGAAACAGAACAGACGGCCCGTCAGTTTCCCCCTATGCCATGCTTTCACACTAAAGTAGCAAAGCACTGAAATAAATAAATTCATCTGATACTTAGTGTTTTAAGATTAATTAAGTTATTTTCATTATTCCTTCGTTCCTCCAAGGATTACAAGAAAAGTCTGTTCCTGTATTCGTCTTAATTAAAGTTAGCTTTCATTATGAAGCCCTTTTCCCCATATGGCAGGAAAGCCAGTGTCAGTCACTGGGGTTCCCTTTTCCCCGCTGCAGGCCCCAGACTCTCCAGAACCCTCTGAGCCCCTGTGCAGAAACTGTGAGCCCCCTTCCCCTTGTTCAAGCGCCAGCGTCCTTAGCTGCCACTTCCATGCCACGTAGAGCACGAGGAGCCCCAGTGTCCTGGCACGGCTGGCGTTGCTGGGGTTCTGGGCTGTTATTTTTCTCATTCTCTAAATAAAGTAGAGCACGGGTCTCCTCTTCCCAGGGAATGCAGCCGGTTTCCATTTCTCTCCCTGTTTCCTTTCTCTGGCCCCAGGCTCACAGGTACCTCTCCCCAGAGAGCACGGGAGGAGATGGTCCTGCTGGTCCTTAGGAGCTTCACTTTCCCACCTCACAAAGCCATCAGGGAAGGGAACATGAGGCCTGCACGCTGGTAGCATTAGCAGAGGTGAGCCAGAGGAGCAAGAGTGACAGACTTTAATGTTTTCATTTATTGTTTGCTGTAGCCAACGTTTGTCCTCTTCCAGCTGGTCATCTTGTTTTCAGCCCTATTTCTATGTTTGGAGACATTTCCACATTAGAAGTAGCTCCCTCGTGTCATGAATACTCAGAATTTATAACCTCTTGTGGGGAGTTTAGATTCAGGCACGCCAGGCAGAAGTCCCCAGGTGTGGGCTGTGATGGGAAGAGAAGGGGGTGACGCGGATGGCGTGACTGTCCTGTCACCAGCATGGACCGCAGCAGAAGTGGCTGTGTAGGTGATAGTGTCTTAGGGCTGAGTCTCTGATCCAGAACTACTGGCACTAGCTGTTGCAGTAAGGTTCTGGTTTAGAGGGTTTAGTGACAGGGCATTGGCAGGGATTTTCTCATCAGCTGGTTTGACATTGTAAGTTTTGGATATTTGCCTGGAAGACTAACATTTAACTCATTTCTTTAAACGTGTCAGTGTTTTTATGAGTTCAAAAATTTTTATTCTAAAAAATATCTGATTCAATCAAGTGTAATTTATATACAATAGCATTCTTTTTCTCAGATGAATAGTGTGTTACATTTTAACATGTGCTTACAGTCTTGCGCTTACCACCACTGTGATATAGAATATTTGTGTCACCCCAAGGAGCTCTTCTGGACCCCTGTGTAGCCATTCTGTGCTCTGCTCACCCTTAGCCCCAGCTCCAGCACCCGGAAACCATCGATTTGTTTTCTACCCTCATAAATTTGACTTTTCCATAATACAGGTTTTTCAAAAACTGGATGTATGCAGTTTATAATCTTTGTTTCTGGATTTTTTCACTATGATGGCTTTGATATTTATTCATGTTCCACACGCCAGTAAGTTCTTTCTTGTTCATGAGTAATATTCCACTGGATGGCTGGATGGCTGTGCCACAGTTGCTTTAGCCATTAGTTGATGGACATTTGAGTTTGTGGGTTTTCGGCTATTGTGAATGGAGATGCTATGGTCATTTACGTACAGCTCTTTTTGTGAGTGTATATTTTTACTTCTTTTGGAGAAATACTCAGGATTGGAATTACTAGATTGTATAGTTAAGTATATGTTAACTTCATAAGAAACTGTGAAAATGTAATGTTTTCTAGTAACTCAGTGTACTTCAAGTTACCTGTTGACTAATAATGTGAGCAGCTTTTAATACTCACTTGTATGTTTTCTGTGGGGACATATTGGTTCACATTTTGTACATTTTAAAAATCAGGTTGTTTGTCTTATTAAATCCTAAGAGTTATATATTATAGATACAAGTATTAGATGCATTTTGAAAATATTTTCTCTCAAACTGTGGTTTGTATTTTTATTTTCTTGAAGAACCTTAATTTTGATGTAGTCTTAACTTACCAATTTGTGACTAGTCCAGGCAGTTTGTTTCCTATCCAGGGGTCTTTTCCTATGTCAAAGTCATACAGCATGTGGAGGCCACTTTTTCTAGCACTATTTTTTGCAAAGGGTACCTTTTTTCCAATGAATAGCTTTAATGCCTCGACAATATATGAATTATCTACTTCTAGATTCTTTTATGCGGTGGTCTTTATCACATTATCATATTTGCATAAACTTACTATTGTACCTACATATTTACCTTCTTTTTATATAAAAATATTTGTTTACTATCTTTACATTTACTGTCCTATTAGCTTATGGTCTTGTTGTATTGTTAGCTTTTAAAACATGTTTTAAAAGAAACATTTTTTTATTTTTCAAAATTTGACTGTTCTAATCTTCATTTTTGCACAGTCCTTTAGGAAATATCTTGTCAGATCACTGAAAATTTGATTTGGATTGTGTTAATTTTTTTTTATTTTAGAAAGGGTAAAATTAAACAGAACAGAACAGATCATAAGGAAACAATTTTAAGAAGCACAGATTTCAAAGCAATACCACTGGAGATCTTCACTGTCTATCATATTGTCTCTTGTTTTCTTCAAAAGAGTTGTCCATATCTTCGCACACAGTGAATACATACTGAACATTATAGTACTAAATTAATGAGAACAGGATGATGAAAGCTTTTTAAGTCTTCAAGACCAGACATTAGGGAAGTCAACAATGGCTGCCATAATGTCTCTCATTCACTTCGAAGTAGCTGTCCATATCTTTACGTATGCTAAAATTGAACATAAGAGACTAGATAATATCACTCTGAACAGTGAATAACAGTATTGCTAGATTTTATATCATAATGCTTCATAATTAGCACTGGGTATCTTCGTGTCTCTTCTTCAGAGTATCTGTTCATTATATAATCTGTTCCTGTAAACTGTTTAGAAATTCTCCCTGTGTATGAATCTCTACATGTTTACT